CATGCTGTCGCAATGCTACAACCCCCATGTTTAATGGGGCCCTGCTCCCATCGGCAAAATATACAAAGGGAACTGGGCAAAGGAGTTTAATGTAGAGTCATGTGTAAATATTGTCAATTATGGTCAGATATGGTCAAATAGCCTTTCACTGATTTACCCACCTGAACTAGAAATAAACAAAACATATCCTGTTTCCTATTTCGATCAAAGATTCAGAGTGACAAAAGTCTCACCACTAATTTACATGCATGAGTGAGTGAGTTTGGTTTTACGCCGCTTTTAGCAATATTCCAGCAATACCACGGCATGGGGACACCAGAAATGGGTTTTAAGAGCAAAATGAACACTTTTGACAGTGTATTGTGGAGGGCTGACACTGTTTTTCTGTTTGGTTTGATAAAAAAAATATCCGAGAAAATGTCACTCCCTTCAGTAAGACATGTTTTTTATATTTTAAAAATTTCGTTGAATTTTCACTTTTTTCTCTGACCATCCACATGAAGTCTTAGGCCGCAGATCGTGTATATCATGTAAAATAAAACAGAACGCATATTGTTCACCCAAATGACATGCTAAGATGTGAACGAATTCTTAAGAAATCTAAGTATAAAATTTGAAGTAAAGAAAAAGATTAGTGATTTTATTTTTTTTAAAGCAAAATGAAGTGAATGACTGGATGCTTTCTCGTCTGTGCAATATACAAATGGAAGTGAATGAGACACAAAATGGGATACTTCATCATCAAGGCCTTTTCTGGATGAAATCAAGATGTCAAACAACTCGTTCTAAAACAATCCTGACAACACAAACATATCTCTCTGGTGTCGACGACAATGCCCTGAAACAGCAAGCGCATTTTGAAAACTAAAAAACAGTCAAAAAACACATTTGCCTTTAGGGTTAACTTCCGGAAATTCATGAGCAAAACATCATCTGATTTCTGTTTGCGAATGAACATCTCCACGTGATCCACAACGCGTGGGAGAGTAATTACACAGGAAGTAGATCCTCACATACAAACCTCTGTCTCCAACTACAGGGACAACTACAATGGCAATGTTCTTGTGTACATGGGCAGTGTTTTTTGCAAGTTACTGGTTAAAAAACTCCCAATAAATTCATTGTTATACGGTATTTTCATGTTTTTTGTCCATATGTCTGAGGTTAAATGAAAGAATAAAATTTGATTTAATTATCAACTCTTTTGTTCATTGGGTAAAGTATGGATTGAAAGAAAAACTGGTTGAAGTATCCCTTGCCAACTTTGAGTCACTCGATCTAGATTATATTTTCATTGGGATATTAGATTAATATTACAGAATATCCTATTTTTCCAATATATATTTTTAAATATAGACTGATCCTGAAACCGAGTAAAAGCTACGTAAACAATCACTATAATTGTTATGGGATCCATATACTCATAGAAACGAATAAGGGAACAGATGAAAGTACAAGTGTTCCTTATTAATTTCAGAATTTCACTCACCGGGCAATACATACCTTGTGAAGAAACCTGGAAAAGAATAAAGGAACACTTGTACTTTCATGCGTTCCCTTATTCGTTTCCATGAATATATCTATGAATTTTCTTCAGCAGCCCATCCATCCATCAATACAAAAAAAACGTTTGTCCACTAACGAATTCATTCAATCCAGTTTAATGTCGTCCAAACCAACAGTCTGTATTGATCCACAAGTGCTGTCGATAGCTTCGGTTTGTAATAGTAATGTCTGTTTGATATCATTACACCATAATGCACCATCCTAGTTTGTATTGCCAAACAATATCAAGGTGATGAATGGTCTGGGACATCATCTCAAGCATCCCCTTCCCTTACACCCACCCCGAGAGTCTGGGAATTCTGTAGTGCACATGGCGGAATACATGTTCCCAGGAACTTCAAATATGAGTAATGGTTGTTCTAGCAGGAGGTTGTCAGTATGAAGTTTTAAGTGATGTAAGAGATAATGGGAAAATTCCAATCTATATATTGAATAACCACAACTCACACACTCTTCGTTTTGTACATGTAGTGTTTGAATGTATGAAGTGAACACATATCTATCTGAGTGAACTTGGCGTTACACCATGGAGGCGTGTCAGCTTCGTGGTTGGTCGTTGGTTGTCGCCGCACTCAGCTAACTGAGCCTTGACCAGACAAGCCAGTGATCAACAGCATGAGCATCGATCTACACATTTGGGGTACGATGACACGGGTCAACCAGGTCAGCAAGCCTGACTACCCGATCCCGTTAGTCTCCTCTTACGACAAGAATAGGTTACTGGAGACCAATTCTAACCCGGATCTTCATGGGCCCAGCTTCGTGGGGGTGGGGTGGGGTGTTTGAGAGAGTAGAACCTGTACTGATACCGATATACCAGATGTTCACCACTTTGATGAAACCCACACGCATTGGTTTTCTTGTTGACAAACCTAGAAACAATCCACATTTACCGGAATTCATACCCTCAATGTCACCATATGCCAGTTGCATAGATCGATTCTCGTGATGCCAATCACTGGATTACCATGTCCAGACTTATTTACAGACAGCCGTCAATTGCTGAGCGCGGCGTTACCCGGTAACCAAACAAACATACCCGCAAAGCGAGGTATTGGCAGAGATCCATCTACAGCAGTGCCATCAGTTCAAGATCCCCATTGGTGATGACAGGAAGGTAATCTCATATTTTTTACTTTCAGATGTATGTTATAATGACAAATTGTTTATTATTAATACAGATGTAACAAACTATGTTTATGTGTGACATGGTGTGAGTGAGTAAATTGTGTTTTATGTCCCTTAATCAATACTCCAGCAATATCAGTGGGCAGCAGAACCGGGCTTTACATACTGAACCTCTGAGGAAAATCAAAGCTCACACCACATGTCTACCTCCATACATGTTCCGACAGCTAGATAAATTCGGCCAGACTTGTGATTCAAACTGTCCAGTCCAAACCACACTTCCACAAAGGTTGTCGTCGTGATGCTGGCGAAACTGTGTCTCTTGTTTGTCAACGGTCATCAACAGCAAGCCACACAGAAGGCTTCAGTTAGACGATCAGCTCAAACTTCCAAAACCAGGCAAGACTTACTGCACCAGAGCTATCCAGAAAGTCTGGGGTCCGTTTCACAAAGCTATCATAGCGCTATGCTGTCGTACCTCCTATACTTTAACAATTAGACTTACGACAGTCGTAGCGCAATGATAGCTTTGTGAAACGGGGCCCAGGTCTGTTCTTTTGAACTCAGGGCGTCAAACATGGCCACCTTAGGTAACCCCACAATAGGAATCTCACATACAGTGGAATAGCCGAATTTTTGAGGACCCAAAAAGTATATTATCATGTTGAATTTTACAGTCATACAATGAGTCAGTCTCTTGTCTAGCACCTGTCAAAGTTGCAAGGGAAGAGCCTGTCACTGGAGAATTTAACTTTTATGGGTGCATAAACTCGGCTCCAGCACACACATCCAAGTCCGATTCCTTCCCGTCAGTTGTCGACATACCTGGGACACGCCCCACTACAGCATGGTTTTGTGTATCACCAGCCATATTCATACTGGCTCCACCTTGTCAGTGACACCACATCCTTGTCAGTGACACCACATCCAGTATCAATTATTTTAAAAAATTCTTCTGCACAAGATACATTTCTTGCCAAGGACATTTTGTGTTTTCTTAAGCATGAAGTCATGACATTTCTTCCAACCAAGTATCTCAACATGACATTTCACAACATCACAGAATGTGTGTGTGTGCATGTGTGTGTGTGTGTGTGTGCATACAGTCAGTCCCCAGCTTCACAACAGGATTTTGCACTTATTTCCCCTAGTGCATTAATACCAAGACCTGTATTGATGCACTGTTTGCTCACACAAACATGAGGCTGTTGTTGACTCCATCACTGTCCAAACTTCATCCAAACTGTGATGAACTGTTCAGCACCCCACCTCCACAGCAAACATCCAGTCAGGAGACGTGTCTCTTGTGTCACTCAGTAAACAGGGGAAACAATTACTACAACGATTCATCAGCTGTCATCATTTATATTATCATTACTTTTTTATGAAGCAATGGACCGTTATGTTATGAAGTTTTATAGCTTGCACATGTGTCAGTGTTTTGCTGTGGGAACAAATAGCTTTTGCGTTCGTAAAACACATAGCCCCTGGAACTCCTGCTTGTTACCTGTTGTGTTTCACGAACCTTGTTACATTCAGTATCACGAGAATTAAGGAAGTAACATAGAAATGTAACTACCAAGAACACAAAATGCTTTGCGTGCAGAACACGCAGGTAGAAAAAATTGTGCGTGAAATGTAGATCTATCTGCATGAAACACGCAGGATTTGTGTTAACATGAGCACTGATGTGTGCGTGGTGATTGTTCTTGTCAGGACATATGCTGTTTTTTATTGCTAATCCAATGAAATACCAGGCCACAGTTTTACACAATCTCCCTAGTCAGACACATAACACCAGCACCAGGCAGGATAATAACAAGTACCATGTTATAACATTGTTCAGTATGATCTGGACCAAGGTCAAACCACCGACCATCCTCTCTCCAGGCTCTGTACAATACACAACAGAGTCTGTCATATCCAATACTACACTGGTTACTTACTGGAACAAATATTGTCCTCAAAGGATATCTTCTTGTTGCCTTGTTTATTTCCTTGATAAGAAGCACCCTATAGAGTGGATCCCTCTTATTCCAGGAACCTGCCTTAAAATGATTCATATTGGTAATTTGGATGTACCAGTATAACAGTCGACCAATTATCTGTAAACCTGGAAGCAATACAGTCCAGATTAACCTAGTTTCATTTTACGTACCTCCAGGGATTTATGTTTGTTGACACTAAGTGAACTTGGCAAGCAAATTGGGAAAAACTAAAAAAGGATTTTTGGCACCTTATGTTCAGAGCCACTTAGATTTTAAAACAGCATTCAGTAACATTACTAATCAAGTAAAAACAAAGAATGACGGTCTCATTTTCTTTATTGGTCCTGCTACCAGTGAACATGAGTCTACAAATATGTCACATTAGTGATAACAATCTTAGAATAAAAAGATATTTTTTTATAATTAAATTTCTGGGGTAAATATACCGAGTAAGTAGCGTGTTGAGAGTGCCCTTTATAAAACACTCATTAAGGCATAGTTTTTGGAGAGAAATATTGCAAAAAGTAATATTAAACAGAACCTCCTGGGAAGAACATAACTCTGAATGGCATGTAGCCAAATCCCATTACGACTAAACACAATCCATTGCTTGTGGCATAATGTACTATTACTGTCTATTCTATCATCCTCTTCTAAAACTTCATCCTTTCTTCTAAAAATACTACACTACGTTACCCTCAGACCTGTAAGGCAAGATGGTATTGAAATATTCTAGAAGTCTAGCCCCTTTTGCACAGACATAATGCTGTAAGATACTTTGAATTTTCAAAGAAGTATCAGATTAACTCCATGAGCATATTAGACCTCATGCTGATAACAATCTTTGACCTAATACTCTGCTAGCTGATCAAAGCAGCTGATTGCAGTTCATCATGTTGTGATATAAAAACATAAAAGTCCTTTTTTCCATGGTCCAAATAAATCAGTCATTGCTGTCAAAACAACACACAAAGTAATTATTTTTTTTGTAATTAAAATCCACATTGGTAGTTGTCTTACAACAAAGGTCAACTAGCTTGTGGAGAGAGTAAAAGTTTCTCTGACCATCACCTTGGTTTGTTTTTTCAATCGTGTTACCATGGTTACTGACGTGGATATGATAGTATCATAATGCTGCTGAAACAATTCTTTAACTTTTTCCATCATTGTCGAGAGACACAAAGCATTTTCGTAGTTTATACCATAAAAACTCAGTCCAGGAAAAGTTCCACTACAACTTATCAGAAAAACATCCACTGTAACCATGGTAACAAAACATTTTGGATTCTTTAAAAATGAACTCCAACCAAAATGGTAAAGGATTGATGCCATTCAAATTTTGTATGTACATGAAGCTATTTTTTTCATGTATCGAGGCCCCAACTCCACAATAGGCATATAAAGACTTCAGGATATGTCAGGAACTTGACAGTCTCATCTTGACAAAACTGAAGTCCATATTCTATAAGAAAATCGTCAGTACTTCATGGCTTGTACGCTCTACATTCCTACATTAACTCTGAATACATCTGCTTGCTGTACAGTGTAGAGGTGACTAGAGTGAGTCCTCTTTAAGCAGTATTCCAGCAATATCAAGACACAAGAGACGGCTTCATACATTGTACCTAGGATTTGAATCCAGGTCTTCAGTGTGGTGAGTGAACATTTTCACCACCAGGCACTGAACAGCACCCCCTCATTCTGGTATGATTCAGGAACGTATTGTATACAAGCTCATGCAGTACTGATGATAAGTCAACAATGATCTTCTCTGGGAGGGTCTAGTTGAATCCCTGCCAGTCGCTGACGTCCGAGTCTTCATCCCAGTCGACGCTGAGACAATGGATACCACTACGTACAGCAGGTGTGCCTTGACCCTTGCCTACAAGAACAAAAAAGGCTGGAATCCTCTCATATCTTGGTTATGGAAACCAAGCTCTGGGCCCCATTTTACAAAGCGATCGTAGCACTAAGGTGATCGTAACTCCCATACGATAACATACACTTACGACAGTCGTAGCACTAAGGTGATCATAACTCCCATACGATAACATAGACTTACGACTGTCATAGCACTAAGGTGATCATAACTCCCACACGATAACATAGACTTACGACTGTCGTAGCATTAAGGTGATCATAACTCCCATACGATAACATAGATCTAAGGTGATCATAACTCCCATACGATAACATAGACTTACGACTGCCGTAGCACTAAGATGATCATAACTCGCATACGATAACATAGACATACGACTGTTGTAGCACTAAGGTGATCATAACTCCCATACCTTAACATAGACTTACGACTGTCATAGCACTAAGGTGATCATAACTCCCATAACGATAACATAGACTTACGACAGTCGACTGTCATAGCACTAAGATGATTAGCACTAAGGTGATCATAACTCCTATAACGATAACAAAGATTCTTACGACCGGTCGTAGAGCGCCGTTAAGGTGATCATAACTCCGATAATCATAACCATAACATAGACTTTACGACAGTCGTAGATCTAAGGTGATCATAACTCCCACATTTTAACATAGATAGACTTTACACTTACACGACTGCGTAGCACTAAAGATGATCATAACTCCCATCACGATAACATAGACTTCTGTTGTAGCATTAAAGGTGATCATAACTCCCTGTCGAAAGTGCTAAGGTGATCGTAACTCCCATACGATAACATAGACTTACGACAGTCGCAGCACTAAGGTGATCATAACTCCCATACTTTAACATAGACTTACGACTGTCGTAGCACTAAGGTGATCATAATTCCATATGATACATAGACTTTACATAGACTTACAGTCGCACTAAAGGTGATCATAATTCCATATGATACGTAGACTTACGACAGTCGTAGTGCTACAAACTTTGTGAAACGGGCCCCTGTACTGATATACCTTTGCAAGCCAACATCTACTGGTCACAAACACGTAGCTACATGCATGATGGGGTTTTTGGAGATGGGGGTATTAACAGGCTTGCAAATTTGGAGGTAGGGGTCGAAACAGGTCTGTGTGTTTTCCTTCTGTCTAAATCAACTTATTCAAAATAATCAAATTACAAATATTGTGCCAGAGTTAAAAGCTTCCATGGTTTGGTGACGGTGGCTTCTGTTGTGGTATGATGGATAGATGTATGCAAGGGCATAATGGTTTGGGTGTTTTTCTTTCTGAGATATGTTTAAGATGACATCAACATTTTGCAATAAGAGCATCAAGGGTAATATCTAGAACCTTTTTACAATCATATATTAGTGCCTGCAACTGCTGTCTCTATGATCATCTTGACTGACCAATGAAACGACTTATTAGCCTATCACAGAACATCTTTCTCAAGTTTTTATGGCCCTAGTTTCAAAATGACGACTTCAATTCCAGACTACACTTCAAAAATATTTTCGCAAATTCCTCCATTCCAAATGTGAAAACTGAATGAAGGAAAGTTCTGGAATGTCTCCTGCATGGCCGAGAATGTTTGGTTGTACTTTTCATGGGCAGAGAAAAGTCTTGTGCATTTCAAATATCTATCACATTGAATATCTTTCACCACATGTTAACAACCACAAAGACTTGAAGAACTTATGGAATTCAGGTTTTTTATCTGCCATCAAAGTTTTGAACTTCTTCTTTGCTTGCAATACATATATGCCATACAGCTGACAACAAAATAATGGTAGAATGATACATTAACTATAGTTGGGTTGTTTGTTGTTTAAGCCACTCAGCAACATTCCATCGATTAACTAAGTTAATTACCTCTGAGTAAGAATAATGATTCTGTCATGAAAATACAAAATATATTCTACAAAAAACAAAAAACCTCATCTAAAATGTCAAGTGTTGACAGACTGCCCATAATGTAATGTTGTTCATCTCACCTAGGACACGAGCATGGAAGGCCAGTGTTATAGATTTAGTCTTGTCCTTGGAGTCGGTAATCTTGAGACTTTCTTCTAACACCTTCTCTCGATGAGCATTGAATATAACGACCACTTGGTGTCCTTCGCCTGAAACAAATACAGCCATGATGGTTTTCAGTACAATCTATTTTTGTAAACAAGAGCATAATTGGGTTTTACACCTAGTGGGATAAGAAAAATATTATGGCAGCCAGCAAACTGTTACCAGCCTTTGATACCACAAAGCAGTGACTGCTGCAGGCTGTCTGGTAGCCAGGGTTTCCATCCTATCAGAATTTCGGTAATAAAAAGCCTCAGGTGCAACTAAGTAGGCAGAAAGTTATATGCATGAACTTGTGCAGGAGAGTAAAAATGGACATCGTGACATTAGAAGGCTTAATATGTTTTCTTATTTGTGTCTTATGAACTTTTAATGTTTTTAAAGCTGTCAGCTGTTTGTTCAGGTTACTGACTTACCGTTTTTTTGTGCCAGGATGTGGGTAATAAAACTATCTGAGTCTCTATTTTTTGTGAGTTGGTTGAGAACCATCCCTCATCAACTTAACTTCTCCACCTGACAATAATTAAGTGTGATCAACACAAAGTAGCACCCTGATGCAACTTGTTAAGTTTACTACAAGGAGACCTGGGATTCACGTTTCCAGCCAAACACTAATTATATCTGAACACCAGCAGATGTAGGTGATTTCTATACCACTAGGCCTGTCAAAATGAACACTGTAACACTATGGCTTAGACTAAAGCTTAGTCGCTAAACATTTATAGAATCAAACAACACTGAAATTGAATAGGAGCCTGAGCGTGATTGGAGATTCAGAACCTGGGGGAAATTGAAACTTCATTCCAAGACATTGGCATTACTGTGAGGACTGGTCGGAGGGGACACAAGGACTGGGAGACAGACTACACTACAACTCTGACTGTACCATAGCATGAAGCTGTACAGTTGTGGGTTTAGGAAAGTGTAATTTAGTGTTAAACAATGCTGTAAGGGACCATCCATCATTTATGGCGCTAGGGGGTTGATGATGATTTTAGGGTGTGTGTGTGTGAGTGCGAGCCTGTGCGTGTATGTGCGTCATTTCACCCACTTTGTTCTGGGGACGTAGTTGGGTCATGAATTTTGTACACATGCACTAGGGGTCATTGATTTTGTACATGACCTCTGTGTGTGTGTGTCATAGTAAAGTATGATAATAAACTAATTAGGATTATATAAGCGTCCAAATATAAAGACGCGCATTGACTAGTATCTACATAACTGGTGAGTGGACATTAACCGTATGAATGTAGCAGAGAAATTTATCAAAGCAGTATTGTCACTTCCACCCCCCACCTGTATGCTCCCAGGAGTGAATCGGTATGTTATAAAGTTGTACGATGCAAAATCCGTTTTGGTTAGATTGACATATTTAACCAGAGTAGAAATTAGAGATTTTCAACTTGATGAAAAAACAAAGCAGCCACGATTATTGAGCAGCTGAGCTGAGCTGGATATCTATTTAGGTTTGTTTTCCAGTCTATCAAAACTAATGTTAGTAAGTATGTATGTATATAAGCTATAACATACATGGAGCGAGTGAAAGTCAATATAATACTACTTACAATATTGTTACTTTGACCACAACCTCACTTCGAGGAAGAAATGGTTATGTTACAAGTTGTGTCATGGAAAATTTTTATGGTCATCAATCATATACATATTTTACTACAACTAGTAGTAGTTTTGATTCTTTAACTTTAGGTGAAGCCGATCTGAACACAAGTAAGTAGCTCGCTAAACCACTCACAAACATAACCCATTTAGCCACGAACTGCGAGGGTCCTGTGGAAATCTGTGCATGGTGACACCATCGCCCGACCCTAGAGACAGGTGACAACAAAGCAGCGATTCGGCGTAATGGATGCTTGATGTCAGAAATCATCAAAATGATGGCGTGCTACACACTTTCTATACAACTAACTGAAAATCCTTCCTCATATGGCGTCACTGCAGTGCTCTGGCGACAAGAATTCACGTAACCTGTCTGTGGTTTCATTGGCGGTGAGAGGAAGTTGGCCACTATTAAATGGCTTCGATTAAATAACCACAAGTTTTTAAGGAATAAATTTGGTGTTCCGCATAAGACTAACCACAAATCTCTTATATGCAATGGTTAAAAGAGTAACAAAAAACAAAGTTTATTGGTTCGTTAAGATTCAGTAGACTACTGGCAAACAACCAGTTGGACTGGTACAGAGAATGCGTTTACGAGAAGTAGGCAGCGCACGACAATAAGCAAGCCTATTTGGTTTGTGAAAGGTAGAGCCGATGTAGGCTAGTGCATGTGCAATGCACGACGATGAAATTGATTCAGCGCATAGCTGCACACACCTTGCTCACGTCGGTTTAGCAAGTCGCACTACACTTGATTGAGAACAACCTGTGGCCCCTTCGCTAACAATGGCAAGCGCCAGTGGGCGGCACTCATACATGCTAATACGGGTCAATTGTCAGGTCGGTCTTCAACTTATCCTTGTTTGCCAGTAGTTCCCAACATGGTATTTCAACAATAATTAGTTGTCAGGAATGTATTACTACTTACATGATCTAATGTAAGCAGCTACTATATTTTCTAGTGTAGTGTAATTTGGAATCTTCTACAAGCTTTAGACAAGTACAGCACAGTACAGAACTTTTTGAGTCATTTCAGTCCTGATACAACATGCATTTCAACAGTTAACTTCCCCTGCCCAAACCTACGTGCTATTTCCCAGCCGGGAGCCTCTTAACAACCATTCATATACTATTCCACTACTGACAAGGGATATTTTGTCTCTCTGATACACAAAAAACCTGATTCTCATGATGTGTCAAGCATGTATTTAAAAGAATGTCATTATCCCTGCCAAACGTTGAGTAGCATATTTTGCTGCAGTACCATACATATTGCATCACAACATGGTTTCAAGATAATGTTGTCCTTAAAACAATCTACAGGTCTTTATTAAATCATAACTGATTACACTTGATGTAAATGTTTTGCATTTATTTATTTTTATTTTTTGAAGTAATTTCACTTTAATGTGTCTTCTATACTGACACATTACATGTATTACAATAAAGAAGTTGTATATCCATAGAACTATCCCCCATGTTCATCACACCTACTTCTAAATGCCACTCAAACAAGTCCTGCTTGTATCAACTTGTCACTCGTCATCCAGCTCAATCACTGTTAGCACAAAGTCTTCTCTAGGCTAAGCTAGGACATATCTAGACCTGGGTATTGGAACACTGGATGAAGACAAAATCAATTAATGTCTTTGGAAATAAATAGTAAAGTTTCAAACAAAAGTTCAGAGTTTACTATTTTTTTCACACTTGAGTTGTAAGCATATCTCTTGCCAGCTACATGACTATCAATGATTTGTCAAAACAGACAGAACCAAGGTGGAATTTAAACTCCTGTCTGTGTAAGATATTTGTATAACTGTTTCCATATTGTATACCCTATAATTAGTTTTTATTAAAGAGAGCATGGTAAGTGACCCATATAAAATGAATACCTCTTGGGCAACAATCACCGGCATCTATATTTGTTGATTTTGTTTCATACACTATCTTTACTTGCAAGTTACATGCTTCAAAGGTGGAAGTACTGTACAGAAAGAAATAAAAGAGACTTGTGGCAGTAATTCACTCCAGTCTCCTGGAGACATAATGCCCAGCTTGGAATTCACCGTTGTCCTTTTCATCAAGATGAAGTTTATCAAGGATGGAATTCACCGTTGTCCTTTTCATCAAGATGAAGTTTATCAAGGATGGAATTCACCGTTGTCCTTTTCATCAAGATGAAGTTTATCAAGGAAGGAATTCACCGTTGTCCTTTTCATCAAGATGAAGTTTATCAAGGAAGGAATTCACCGTTGTCCTTTTCATCAAGATGAAGTTTATCAAGGAAGGAATTCACCGTTGTCCTTTTCATCAAGATGAAGTTTATCAAGGAAGGAATTCACCGTTGTCCTTTTCATCAAGATGAAGTTTATCAAGGAAGGAATTCACTGTTGTCCTTTTCATCAAGGAAGTTTATCAAGGAAGGAATTCACCGTTGTCCTTTTCATCAAGATGAAGTTTATCAAGGAAGGAATTCACCGTTGTCCTTTTCATCAAGATGAAGTTTATCAAGGAAGGAATTCACCGTTGTCCTTTTCATCAAGATGAAGTTTATCAAGGAAGGAATTCACCGTTGTTCCTTTTCATCAAGATGAAGTTTATCAAGGAAGGAATTCACCATTGTTCTTTTCATCAAGATGAAGTTTATCAAGGATTGAATTCACCGTTGTTCTTTTCATCAAGATGAAGTTTATCAAGGAAGGAATTCACCGTTGTCCTTTTCATCAAGATGAAGTTTATCAAGGATTGAATTCACCGTTGTTCTTTTCATCAAGATGAAGTTTATCAAGGAAGGAATTCACCGTTGTCCTTTTCATCAAGATGAAGTTTATCAAGGAAGGAATTCACCGTTGTCCTTTTCATCAAGATGAAGTTTATCAAGGATTGAATTCACCGTTGTTCTTTTCATCAAGATGAAGTTTATCAAGGACTCCAATAAGACCACAACCTTAATCAGGTCCTCATTCTGAAACCTAACTCAATCATTAACTAGAACGATCCATTTCATGAACAATAGTTCCCCATGGGGATTCTCAGAAAGAATAGCTCCACAGTAACCTTTGGTGTTCGTAGGAAGTGACCACATTGATCAGTAGTCATGTTCTCTGATTTGGTTGAGTGCATGTCGTAGTAAGCCATGATGTTTGTTTGTCGCTCACACTATCAACCACTGGATCGTCTTGTTCAGATCTGATAAGGTCTGGAATATTTCTGAGTGCAGGGTTAGACAGAAAACTAAACTTGAACTTCAGCTAAAATGTGACAAGAACTTTGAACCATTTATGATTTACACTGCTTAAAACATTGAAGTGCTGACCTCAGCCTTACAACAGTGAGTGAAAACGGTAATATTCACTGAGTAATCATGGTTCAAGTAAACTCGATCGCCCTTGGTAATAAATGTCAGATTACACAACAAATGCATGATTCA